TGTAAACCCTGATGTGAGTTTTTTCACATTTAAAACATAGACCACCGAACAGGGTGGGTTTTCCACTGTATGTCTATTTCCTTTCTATTTGTCTATGGTGCCAATCAAGGCCAAAAAGGCCACAGGTTGGATCTGTTACATTTGTTAAAATATATTTTCCAGGACCAGAAACATCTTTACACTACATAAGCTCAAATGTCAACTCCTGAACAAATGCAAAGATATGGAGTCAAGTCCCCCAATGTGTTGTCCCATTCTGTTTCTGTTAAGGAGACTGAGATTTGTGTCAGTTAGATCTGTTTCCAGATTATGTCTTCTGATCCTCAAGTGTAAAGAATCTTCTACCGCTTATCCGGGGTCGGGTTGGGGGGGCAGCAGCCTAAGCAGGGAAGCCCAGACTTCCCTCTCCACAGCCACTTCGTCCAGCTCTTCCCGGGGGATCCCGAAGCGTTCCCAGGCCGGCTGAGAGAAATAGTCTCTCCAGCATGTCCTTGGTCTTCCCCAGGGTTTCCTACCGGTGGGACGTGGCGGAAGGCGTCCGGGAGGCATCCTAACTAGATGCCCGAGCCACCTCATCTGGCTCCTCTCAACGCAGAGGAGCAGCGGCTCTACTCCGAGCTCCTCCCAGATGACCGAGCTCAGCCACCCTATGGAGGAAGCTCATTTCGGCCGCCTGTACCCGCGATCTTGTTCTTTCGGTCACTACCCAAAGCTATGACCATAGGTGAGGGTAGGAACGAAGATCGACTGGTAAATTGAGAGCTTTGCCTTTCGGCTCAGCTCCCTCTTCACCACGACGGATCTGTGCAGAGTCCGATCTCCCGCACCATCCTTCCTTCACTCGTGAACAAGACCCGAGGTACTTGAACTCCTCCACTTGGGGCAGGCCAACCATCGACTCGGATTTGGAGGTGCTGATTCTCATCCCGGCCGGTTCACACTCAGCGCCGAACAGTCTGATGAAGCCAACAGGACCACATCATCTGCAAAAAGCAGTGAGTGACCCAATCCTGAGGTCACCAAACCGGACCCCCTCAACGCCCTGGCTGCGCCTAGAAATCCTGTCCATAAAAATTATGAACAGAATCGGTGACAAAGGGCGGCCCTGGCGGAGTCCAACCCCCACTGGAAACGAGTCCGACTTACTACCGGCAATGCGGACCAAGCTCTGGACTTCAAGTTCAGAGTCATGGACCTCATTACCAGTCAGACCTATTCATTTTATTTTTCCGTGTGGTTGACATGACATACAACTCTCACAAGCTGTGCCCTAGTGCAGGAATGTCACTACAAACGCAGCTTTGCAATGTCTGCAATAATGCAAAATGAAGAGTTTTATTAGTCTAGGGCTGCACGATATGGTTAAAAAAATCATATTACAATTATTTGACTGTGGTTCCCATGTAATTCACAATTAGTTGGATGATCATCAAATTGTCATTTTCAAACTCATTACCAAACACATGTTTTGTGATATGTGTAGTACTAGATATATCTGCAGCACTATAGTACTTCATTATAATGCTGTTGGTTATCAAAAATTGAGGCTCAGAATCCAGATTTAACTGTGCAGCCTTATTACCACTATGTTACAATACATACTGTATATTCTATACAGATTTACTTTTTTGTCTTTCCTTTTTATCAATCTTTTCAGTTTCTTTTGCCCCTAAGGAGGCCTCTGCTTCTTTTGAGCCTGCTGAGGAGGTTCCCACAATGACCCAAGACACCCATTGTCAATATGTATTTGGTAAGATGATACTTAATTGTAATTAAGTATTTAATTATTAAGTGTAATTAAGTTAGGACACAGTTGTAGGAATGTTTATTATTTAATGTTTATTTTATCTGTGTTTAAGACACTGAGATTCAGAGCTTAAAGGACATTCTGACCACAGCGAATGTTCAGAGTATGGAAGAGCAGCCTTCAACCTCCACATCATGGTGCTTGCGTCAGTCTGCTGCTCAAGATGAGTGGCGGAAAGCACGGTCCCATCACCTGAACTGTTTGCTGTCCTGCAATGAGGTCCCAAAAAGGAAGTGCTGTCACTGCACATCCCCTGCTATAATTCGCTGCAGAGACTGCATGCCAGAGGAGTGGCTGTGTATGGAATGTGACATGTGAGTCTTGCATTGATGGAATTTACAAGCCCATTGAGCCAACAGTGTGCTGCGTAGAAAAGGATGGCACATACTGTCTGGTCAATCAAGGTATTATTCTGATCCTTTTGGTAAAGTGCTTAAAGTTATGTTTGACCTTTTAGTTTAGATAATAATCTCAATTGGATACAAGTCTTCTCCCTAGTTATTGAACCTGTCTTTTCAGTGCGACTGTTGCCTACAGTGAGACCTTCCCAGCTATGCACCTGTGAACCTGAAAATATTAGTGTCAGCTGGCAGAGCAGTTATCTTGGTTTGCATAAATGGTATGGACTATCAATTTATTTATTTTTTTGCTAAGTTGTATGTCTCAAAATAACCACATATTTATTGTAATTCTTTTTGTTTTTAGGTCGTATGATTTGCACATGCCAAAATTGTTGTGCAGATTGTGCCTGGCACAGTGGACACCTGACAGAAGCGACCTTATAAAGAGTGGCTACTGGCCAGCAACTGTAAATGCTGAGACGTTGTTTTCAGTTGATGTCTTCAGCACATTTGAAGAAATGAAAACTGTTGCACCCAGTTTGTCCAGGCAAGCTTTTTTGCGGATGTTAGAGAGGAGAACTTCTCACTTTGGAAGGGTAGGTTCAGTGTGGATGACAGTTGCAGAGATTGGAGAATAGTACTTTAGCTATTTCATGTAACTTTTTACAAATTGACAGGCTGGGAAAATACATGGAGACATATTCCAGAGAAGCTTCATGGAGTATACATTCTGCCAGTTCCAGTGTGACAAAATGGCCTGTGTTAAACAGTTCACCTGTCCTGCATGTACACCGAACATGCTGTCTCTCTGTGCAGATGGCAACCGAGAACAATACAGATTTCGACAGTCAAAGGGGTGAGTTCATTTACACTTTTAAAGTGTAAAATTAGCTGAATAAATAATGTCAGAGACCCATGAACATAATCTTTTTTTCTTATAAATCTTTTTCTTATCTCATTAAGGTCAGAGGAGCCATATTTTGATGGTACTTTCATTGCCAAGGATTGTGACGTACATCATTTTGTTGAGGACATCCAGAGCAAAATGAAAAGTGTTAGTAGTATTTGCACTGTTATTTAAATACATTATATGGCCAAACTTTTGAGTTATGTCATATATGTGCAACTGTTCATACAGAATGAGACCAGAACATGTGGCCATTAATTTTAATGTTTCCTGCCTCGTTAAATCGAGTTATCAGTGATATTACAACTGCATTTAAACATTTAATTTTGCATTAATTAATCATTTTCTTTGATAGAAATATGTGGATAATTTACTTAAGATATCCTGCCGGTACCATTGGAGCACATGAACGTTGTGCACCAGAAAACATTATCACTGGAGGGACAAGGAAGACAGAGGTGCATTTGAGAGTTTACATGAATTCATTGTGTTGAACTATCCTGCTGTTGTGTTATTTATCTGACAGCCAATCAAGTTTCTATCTTAACTTTAATACTTTCATAGCGTTAACAAGATTTATGACAAATGTATGTTAAGTTTTAATGTATTCAACAGAGGAAGTCTTAGTCTGCAGAATGTCGTGATAGAAATGTCAGAAATATGTTAAATAGCTGCAGATTCGTGATGTATTTCTTTGTTTTGTCAGTCGTACTCACACGGTCTGATGCAGAAGAGCTGTGACCTCCATTTTTTCTGGCTGCTGACTGTCTGAACATCAGACTGAAACAAAGTGAAATGTAGGTGAGATCTTCTTCCTGTGGAGCTTTTTTTTTTTTTGCTTGGATGCGAGTCAAGGTCGGTCATTTCTACCCTGCGGGGAAATAGTGTTGAACCAAAAAAGAAAACATGGCCTTTCAGTGCACAGTTAGTATAGCCTCAGGCTTGGCTAGAGCTTAGACTCTTATTCTGGTTGCAGACGCTGGTGTTAGAGGGAGTTTGTGAACTTGTGACGGTCTGTGGTTGTTCAGAGCAACAAAGCAGCACATTCTTTTATAGAAATACTCTCAAAACCAGGCCACATAAAACCAAACTTGCCATGCCTAGATGGAACTAGGAGGTCAGTGAATATTTTCTTTTCTAACCTTTATGCAGTTTGTGTCTATGACACATAGTCTACTTAAATTTATACCTGAGAGGCTGCCTAGTTCTTACTGGCCACTGGGAGCAACCCCATGCGAGCCAGTTAAGAGCCTTTGCTAATTTCAGATGCGATAACATGTCTGTTAAACATTAGACAGGGCAGAAATCTTGACGTGAACACAACCCATATCCATTACGTTTGGGGGCCTAGGTCAAATACTTTAATGGAGGACTTTGACTGTGCCGGCTTGGTTGAGATTCTCCTTGAGGCACACAACAGGTAGGTTCAGCTTTGAATCTTTTATTTCTACACATTACTGTGCTTCACTAACTTCTTATTTAACGATTTCATTTCATGTACATTATGACAGTAAATCAATTTTAAGTATGCAGCTATTGATGTTTTACCAGCTTTACCGCTGCTTAGGAGGGGAGTGCGGCTTGCATTTGACAGCTGCAATTTAGGGGAGGAGACACCCGAAACAAATATTTGCACTAGACGGACACAAGATGGACACCTGAGGAATGGCAAGACACCCGTTTGGGGCTAAACATGGCATATGGGGGAAGCTACAGGAAGTAAATAAAGTCTCCTTACTGGCATCCCTAACAGTATGTTTTGTATTGCAAGCCCTGTCCTGGGAGATGGATAATAGATATAGTATATTATATATATATATATATAATAGTATAATTCATACATATATTTTAATTATTTAAGCTGTTACGAAAGTGAAATGGGGTGGTGTTTTGGATTAGACT